TATAATAATTATAATAATAATAATAATAATAATAATAATAATAATAATAATATAATAATAATATAATAATAATAATATAATAATATAATAATAGATTAATAATAATAATATTTAATATCCTTAAACAAAAAAATATATATATACACAAATCTACGAATAAATTTTCATTCTCTTATTTATCGTACCAAATAAAAAACAAACACGTACACAGAAAAATTGAAAAATAATCCTATCACATTAAACTTTACTTTATTAATTTATAACAAATAATTATATTGGCATTTAATTATTTTTGAATTGTTTTCCTTTTACCCGGTAATTTTCTTGTGTCAGCATAAGCAAAGTTCGAACGCATTAAAAATATTTTATGTTGTTCGTCAACTGCAACAGTCCTCTCTATTCTTTCAGTTGCAATACGTTCAATCATGTAAAATAATTCCGAATGTATCGAAACACATTTTCGAAAATCTTTTCTATCGAGACGATAAACTTCGCAAACGTCTACAGCAATCACAGTTGCAACACGTTTTTGATTGGGTACTAAAAGTGCTACTTCACCGAAATGAGCCCCATCGTCTAAATAGCATATCTATATAAATGTAAATTTAACAAATAATCAACATAATTTTCAAATATTTTGTTATCTTAGAAAAAATAATATAAGATTATATTAATCATTACTTTTTTCCCGGATGGCGTTAAAACAACTACGGTTCCGGTGCATAAAAAAAACATACAATCACCATGCGTCCCATCTCTTATTATAACATCATTTTGCAAATACAATTCGAATTTTAAATTTCTAACAATCGATTTTAAAACGTCCATAGGTAGATTTTGAAAGATCTCAACATTTTCTACCAAACGTCTGCAGGATTGCATCGCAATTTCATCTCGTAATTGTTCTACAAATTATTTTCCCTTATAAACTAAAATCGATGCTATTCTACAAAACTTGCGTTAAATATTGCAAAAAAAAAAAAGAAAAAAAAGAAGAAGAAAAATACGAAGCTAAAGGATTCGTCGTTAACCTGAAAGTTTGCTCAGGATTTGTTTTTCACGAAAGAAACTATTCTTGAATCGATAACCGTAATATAATAACAATCGATTTTTCATTTGCAAAGGTAATTGTTTTTGCCTTGTAAATGCTTCTATATGACTGATTATTTCATTATATTTAGTCTCTGCAGCTTCGCTGAATCCTTTTACCTGTAGCAACATAACTAACGTTAACAAAACTAAATAGATCGTTGAAAATATTTGATAGACGACTCACTTATGATGTAACATTCAACAAATCTGCCAAATATCATGAGTAAAGTATTTAATACGATGTGTGTGTCAGTTTTAGGAGGGAAAATACCATAACCGCTTGCTAAAAGATTTTCCAAAACGATGAAAAGTGCATGCTGAAATCTAACAGCTATAATTTCCTTCTCTATCCCAGCCATCCAACAATCGGTGCACTCCTTAACAAAATTCGATCATTTACATGGTAATTAAATTAATTTATTTATTTGTTCGTTTCAATTACTCACCGTTAATGAAATGTTATAAAAATGTAAGGTCAATATAGGCAAAAGATAACACAAACAGGTGAACCAAATAATTAAATAAAATCCTAACACCAATGTAATTGTCGTTTGATAATAAAAATTTTCTATCGTTAAATATTGATAAAACCAAAAAATATAAGAAATTAGGGTTGGATAACGTGTCAGTTTTAATAAGGGTAGAATATTAATTAGAGTTATAATACGAAATGAATCATTTCCTGGCAATCTTCGCCATAATAAAGTTATGTGATCGTAAGGCAAAGAGGAAAGTATATCAACCATAAGATATCCTTTCGAGTATCTTCTAAATATAATTCAAACAAATCAATCAATATTTGTTAATAAATATGTACGTGTTTCATACATATGTGCAAAGAATATAAATTATTAATTAGATCATACTTGAATATTTTAGATAATCTCAATTCTACGTGTACATTTTTTTCATCATAATAACCGGTGATGCAATTGCAAATGATATCCAACCAGCATACAATATAAATCAAAATATTAACTTTATCCAAACGCAATAATTCATAATCCATGATAATAAACGAGATCATAAAAGGTATGGTAAAAAAGGCTATTCCATAAATGACCATCATAAATGTTTCCCATAGAATTCTAATGGAAAATCATCGAAGTATGTTAATCGATGACAAGAAGATTAGTTTTGTTTGAATGTTTAAATGATTAACCTGAAATAACTAAAGGGATGTATAACCCAAGAATATTTAAGACGCAAGTGTCTTCTTTTTTCAAGATTTACTGCTGTCATACTATCCATATATCGCATACATCTAGGTGTGCGATTATTAATACTAGTCAATTTATACCATTTTTGCTTAAAGTCCCAACAACTAGCCATTTCACCCAAATCGTCTATTCTCGTAAGCAATTCACAAACGTGACCTTGTTCTTTAGGAACATCGTTATTAGACATAGTGAAATTCTTAGATTAAAACCTTCACTAATTTTAATAACAAAATTTTCCCATGAAAACTATTGTGTTACAAGGATATTGTGTTTAAAAGGAAACATCAGAGAGATCGATTTCGATTTATCGATTCTCGAGGAATTCGTTTAAAAAAATATACATTCATATAGAAGATCGAAAAATTTATGAAATACGAATAATTGACAATTTCAAGAAATATAAATGTCAATTATGGTTATTTATTATTAGATTTGTAACATTCACAAAATATACATTTGTCTAACATTTTACATGAACGATTGTAACTTATTCAAAATTAATTTAATTAATGAAGAATTACAATCGATGAAAAAGAAATCTCATGTCGTTTATTTAAAGAAAAATTCAGAAAAGCCCCATGCATTTATAGTCGAAAACAACTAACAAACAAGTAAAGGGTTTCTAATTTATTCGAAGGGATGCCTAAAAAATTGATCTTACCATTTCAGGGTTTCGTCAGAGTTCAGTTAAAAATTCCGTAGCAAATTACATTCAATATTGCGACTAGAAGGGCTTCAAAATTTGTTTTAACAATTGCATAAAGGGTTGTGTTAAGGGTTTTAAATTAAATTATTAATAAAAAATTGTAATTAATAGATAAAACTTACAAACTCAACTAAAAATACACGATCTTACATGCTAAGGTCTCCAATTTTCTTTTCTTTTTATAAATAAACATTTTGTTTATACTTTCAGGCATTCATTTTATTAACAATACGTTTAATCTCAAATTTACTTTGCATCGATTTGTCTTATTACTTATATCTGTTTTTAATAATGGCCATTAATAGTACGACTAAAATCTTCCTGTAGTAAATGAAGGTCTCCGATATTCATTGTTATAAACATTTTTGATAAACAATCATACTTAATCATATAAAATAGAAATGCACGAAACGTATAGTAATTATTTAAAAAAGGAAAAATCTAATCTAACAAACATTTATTTCTAAAAAAGTTAATTATAACAAATTGTTTATAAACAAATTGTTTATAACAAATAGTTTAAACTAATTATTTAATTGATCATCGTCAATGTAACGAAAGAATAGAAAGAAATCTGCTTTTGTTGAATTGATTATAAAAATAATTAATTAACAAATTGTTTATAAACAATAGGGACAAACAATTATATGGCGAGAAAATAATAAATAATTTTCCCTATAAAACGATACCTTGTTTACGTCTCTACGATTTTTAGTTTCGGAGATATTCCTGTTTATGTAAAAAGTATTTATGTTCATTGACCTACATATACGAATGACCTACATAAATTCTTGGAAATTACGCACGATTACTACGATCAGCTGTTACTACGCTTACTATGATCAAGTCATCAATGAACTTTGCGATGGCAATATCTTCGGAACCAAAAGTCGTAGAGACTTGAAACAAAAACCATTTTAAAGAGGAAAACGCCCTTTTTTTACTCACGTATTTAAATATTATCGATATAATAAGATCGATTTCATTAATTTTTTATAAACACATATATACGTGCGTTTATATAAAATAAGTTATGTTAGGTGTATTCCTTAAACGAATTTGAACAAATCTAAATAAAATTTTGTAAAATAATTATCATATTTAAGCAATAACAATACAATGTGTTATCAAATAATTTAGAAATATTATTTAAACAACACAAACATATATATATAAATTGCAGTATAGATGATCAATCATATTTTACAGGAAGAAGATATTTCATAGACTATTAATACCCGTATCAACTACTTTTAATTTCTTTTCCTTTTCGATTTTAAATAATTTTCTATCGTTCGTCAGTCTTTCGTTATGCTTAAATTTACTATTGATATTAATTACAAATCGCATAAAAAAATACCATCTTCGAACAAACCGGTTATGTAGCATACAGATACATACAATTTCCAGTAATGAAATCGTAGATATACATGTAAAACCGATTACTCTTTCCCCATACAATGTTAATAAATATCGATAATATTGATTTTATTTTCACAACAGGGATGATGATGATTATCATCCATATTCGTTCCTTTCAAAATAGTTCAATAATCTTTGAAGTATATACGATTAATCGTCAAACTTCTTTTCTGAATACGATCGATTCTTGGGTGTAAAGAATTTCATCATAATTAGTCTTACAATTGATTATGGGATTTCGGATAGACATCCGACGAGAATATTATTCTGATTCGATATCTGTCCTTATGGCAGTGTGTCCTATCCGTGTTTGATATCTTTTTTCAAACCCCCTAATTATCTTTCCTTTCATTTATTCGTTTTATATTTGGCGCGAGTGTGCGTGTGTGCGTGCGTGTGTGTGTGTGTATTTTTTTTCTTTTTCTTTTTCCTTTTTTTGTTTTTTTTTTCTCTTTATTCGAGTTCAAACATCGATGCCAAGAAGTTCTCGGCTGTCGGCCTTGGAAAGTCGACGACGTAAACTACGACGACGAAACTCCTTCCATCAGACGGATGCACGTTTAACGCGAAAGCTCGCCGAGGTTGATGGTGGTCTGTAACCTTGGTAACCAGAAGAATCCAACAATTCCGAATTTGTTGGTCCAAGACACGTACATGAACACACGCTCACGCAATCGTCCGTATCGTGAACTATCGGCACGAGATTGGGCAAAGCTTTGCCATTAACAGCAACTACTTCACCGTCTAAGGTTAACACATGATCGGCTGTTATTTGCAAATCGTTATCCTCCCGACGTGGATCTCCGGTATTCCTAATTAAACAAAAAAAAAAAAGAACAGAATTAAAAAGATTTGTTTCCTTTTTTATAAATGTGTCAGATAATTGATTATTCATACATTGTCATAAAACGTAGAACCAATAGATTGATGCTAGCTGCGACAACCGCTAAACCGAATAAAATGAACACCAAACTTAGAGCCACGTAACCTGGTTTGTTTGAAAGTGCATGATCGTTCTGGAAAAAAATAACAAAAATAAAACAGAGAAGAGATATTAAATGGAAAACGTATGATTATTCGATTGAAAAATAATGAACCGAATTAAAATTTACCTGCAAAGCAACGAAATCACCAAAACCGATGGTCGTTAACGTGACGAAACAATAATAGAAACTATCGAAGTAACTCCAACCCTCGTAACGTGAAAATACCGCAGCACCGGTAGTGATTATTATACTTGATAATAATCCAGTAGCCAACATTAGGTTCATTTCCGTAGCGTCGTTCTTTTTACATCTCATGTAAGTCTTAGCTCGTCTTATAACAACGGAAGCAAATTTGTTTAAACGTTCGCCAATACTTTGAAACATTACCAGACCAAGTGGTATGCCCACCATAGCGTATGCCATACAAAATGCTTTGCCACCAATGGTTACGGGAGTGGAATGTCCATAACCTTGACAAATAAATATTTCACATATAATTGAATACCCTTTAAACTCTTTTTAAATTACAAAGAGAGACAAATAAATGAATATCAAATGTCTAACTATGCAAATTGTCTAACTATGCATTAATTTTATTAGATCTTTGAATAAAGATAAGAGTATTATTTACCAATCATAGCGAGAACAACTGTAGCAAAGTAGAAGGCACCAGCAAATTTCCATTGAGGACCCGCTTTATGGGGTTTATTTTCAATAATTACGATCTCAACCATACGATAATCCTCCTCACTAATGTTATACTTTTTCATCATGTTACGGCGTATATCTAAAAAAGTATATATACATATATAGTAGACAATATTAATAAACAATAAACCATTCAATAATCTTACCCGATAAAAATTCCCGACGTTTCCTTTCGGTGTCCGATTCAAGTGCATCGAAAACCGCAGCACCAATCAAAAGATAAATAAATGTGCACACTACCAACGATAAAGTTCTAACGTTCTGTCTCTTCATCTTCGTTAATTAATTAACAAGATAAAATGAACGTTCCAAAAAGGTGACAACACTTTAGTTTGTATTATATTTAAAAATAATTTCAGTCGATTTTTATCGAAATGTTGGCAGTCACTCATCAAGGAAACACATAACGTCCATTGAAAAACACTCAACACTTGGTCACCATAACACTCCATTGGGAAATATTTAAACAAATGTTCATCATTTCGATTAATTTTCAAATCATTCTTTTCTTTCTAGCATCCTCGAAAGATCATAAACTCGTGCGTGCACTTATCTAAAAACGTACAATTCACACAATGTGCTTCTTGAACCCTCAACCCAAACGAAACTCATGAAGTATTGATCGGTCCAACAACTAAAAGATATACTCCATGGAAATATGAAACGCCTAGTGATTTCTCCATAGATATATATTGCTAGTGGTAACGGTATGTAACTGTAACAGACGTCAGTAGTCTATGCTGCTGTAAAATCAAACAGATTTATCTTCTCAGATAGACGACAAGTTGTTATCGATCGTTGCATACAACTTCGTGATAGCTATGAAAGATAATTCAGGGGACGACTATTCTGTATTCTTTACCGACCATCAATCACTACAACACTTTATTATTTGTAAAATAAATTATTTAAAATGTTAACTGTGTTCAATTATTTTTGTGATACAAATTTACCGATGAATAAAACTTGCAACGATGAATTATTAATGAAATATATTATTTATTATATTACAGAGAGAGGATAAATATCGAAACATTTAAATGTAACAACGCTAAATATAATTTTAAACTGTTCACTAGATGACGCTAGTTGTATTAACAAAAATTTAATTTAGTAATAATTTAATTCTAGTGTGTTCACACTAACTAAATATAAAAAAAAAATGAAAGAGGTAGGAAAAGTTAGGGGAGGTATCGGAGGTAAAATGAAAGCTAAACTATCTCTCCCTTCCCATTGAAAGTTAAAAATGTTTATATTTAATGATAGCAAAAAAAACTTTGGACGAATATTAATCGAATTATATTATTCCAGTGCATGAATTAATTATCGAGGATATACTAAATGTTTATTAATACGTAATCTTTGAAGTATCCTTCAACGTTATTATCATGACTATTATATAAAGTATAAAAGGAAAATAAAAGTAGTTTGTTAATGCTTCGAAATTAACTCGATTATCGTATTTTCCAGGATATCAGTGGACCTCTTTCTTCCTGGAATCATACCCTTGACCCACTTTCAAGTTTCATCATTGTTATAAGATAAAGTTAAAGTTATAAGAAGTGTAAATTATTCGTCGAAGAAAAATATCAAAGAGAATCGATCGATCGTTGATCCATAAAAATTCACACATTCTACGAGAAAAAAGATATTGTTCTTTTTACTTTCTTTTATACTTTTTTTTTTTTCTTTCTTTCTCTTTATCTTTTTTTTCCTTTTTACGTTAGAACACGTTAAATATAGAAGATGATCGATAAACGAGTCGTTGGAAAGGTAAACGCGGCCAAATTCTTTCATCGTCGAGTTCGCTAACGACGATCAAAGAACAATAAATCTTCGAGTTGGTGACCCGATGATAAACGAAACCATTCGAAAAGTTTTACCACAAAAATATCCGAGAAAAAAAGTAGAAAGATTTAAGCAACGACTTGGTAACTCATTACTACCCGGAGTAAGATAAAGAAAAGAAAAGAAAAAAGAAAAAAGCAGGAATGAAGAAAAATATTTCAAAGAGAGAGAAAGTATTTAAGAAATGTTCACGAAGAAACTATGCCAACTACGATTCAATTAATATAACAATGGAAAGTAAACACGTCAAAGCATAATGGCACCGTCAACGAAGAAACTGAATGAACGTAAAGTCACGAAGTACATCAAACAACATCCATACTCTCGTGGATGGTGTTGCAATTGTCACTGTACAGGTGTTCGCTCAAATTATCGCCAATATATTGACGTTGATGAATTAATTTGGAAACTTTTAAATATCCAAAAACATAACCAAGGTGATCAAAAATATTAATAATACAATCATAATTTAATAAAAAAAAACCATTGATCATTTGAAATGTATAATAAAATGTGTTGAAATAAAATACTTCGAAGTGTAGACGATTTAAAAGAATGTTTATGTTTTAATATGCAATACAAATGTGTGTATGCGAATTATAATTCCAGTCACGAGAAGAACGTGGCCACTATCTCGAAGAAGAATGCCACGCGAGAGAAATGTGCATTATCGGAATTTAAGTTTATCTCCGTACGAGAGAGATTCGATATCACGTGTAAGCTCGGAATCCGGAACACCCTCTCTGGAGAATCTAACCGAACCGACGGATGTTTCCAGTGGTTGCTCGGCTACACCTTATTTCGCTAACGATGATTTCACTAATTCCTATCTGGAAAATATTGGTCAACAATGTTCGATAGATACCAACAGAGCTTTGTTTAAGAAAAGATCCATCGTCCAGATCATTAACAATTACATCAAGGCTGGCATCGAAGAAGGTTTCATATTTTTTCTTTCCTTTTCTATAATATCTGTATATGTTGTAATTATTTATTTTATCAATGAATTTTTTTGGTCATTTCTTTATTATTTACTTCCTTTACATAATTACTAACACACAATCATAATTAATAACTCAATTAATTTGATTATAATTTAGGTAAACGACAAGCAAAAATATATATTCGCAAGGCACTCAGATTCGGCGTTAAATCAGGATACTTGATACCTACGGATCCTCAAGGGCAAGTACTTCAAATATCTCCTACCTTGGCAAACCCAAGACAAATCGAGACGCAGTTGCGAAAAAAAAAAAGACATATCCGTAGAATCAATGATAACAACGGTCTTGAATTGGTTCAACGAAAGATGATACGAAAGAACACTTTATCGCGAAATGTTAAAAATAGTGACGAATCGAGCAATAGGAAACCTAAACGAAAAGATTTGAAACCCAAACGTCAAGGTATTAGAAAAAACGAGGAGAAATCGAAAAGAAATAACTCCGATAAGGATTTAACTGACAAAAAGAAAGATAAAGATAAAGATAAATCAAAAAATGTTGATCGTCCGAAAAAACAAATCAAGTTAGTGTCCGAGATTTTAAGTATAAAATATATCTCTTATATATAATATAATTTTTCTTTTCTTTTTTCTACAGAACGGGAAGAGTTAAGAAACGAGGAAGAAAGAAACAAAGGCGGGTCTCGAAAAGGTCCTCGAGAAAAAGCCGAAATAATTCGAAATCATTCGAGAATGAAAATCTACAAAACGATCTTGACATTCTTAATGATCAAAATAATTTAGAAAATAAGGAAAAGTGTCAGAATGTAGAGGAGGAAGATGAGGTCAAGGACGGTTCTAGCGAACTCATTGGTTGTTCATTCTCAAAGCATCGGACTCAGCTCCTGGCAAATCAAGAAAACGAGACGAAGAACGACGACAACGACAACGACAACGACAACGACAACGACAACGACGAAGACGACGACGACGAGGAAGGAGAGAAGTGTGAAAATAACGAGGATCAAGTAGACGATTCTGTTTTAAAGAGAAACGAGGGATGAAAATACTTTAAGAATAAAAGAAGAAAAAGAAATCCTTTTTTTTTTTTTATTTTTGCTTTTTTTTTTCCTTTCTACAAAACGCTGCTTACGCAAACTCGACCCTTTTAAACCAATTTTTTGTTTGTTATCCTTTTCTTGTCAGTCATATCGGTTTCTTTTATTGGATATACACGTAATCTGAATAAATTCTATCACCTTTTACTCTTTTATCAAATTTTGTGAAACATTTTTCATATATAATTTGTCAAGAGATTTTTTTACAAAAGTAAATAAAAGAAAAACGTGACTTTCGCTTTGCCATGGCCGTTTTGATTCGCTGATATCGGACAATTTAGTTGATTTTCATATACGAACTGAAGATAGCCGAACATTTCGAGATACTTTTTCGTACGTCAAATGTTAAATAAGATAAAGAAGAAATGTTACACATTTGTTAACTGATCGCGGCTAAATCGGTCATATCTTTCACAATTCATGTCTCATTTTTAATTTTTATTTCTTTTATTAGATTATTTTTTTTTTAGAAATTTCTAATCTAATATAAAAATAAAAGTATACTATCTTTGTGCACTATTAAAAGACTCTTTATACGATTAAATCTAAATTTATTCTAACAAAATCGAAGTGTATACAAACAGCGTTGGATTAATTCTACCAATTCGTTCAAAATTTACACAAACGAAGCTATGTAAGTACATTAAATACCAAATCTAATATATAATAATCCTATAATCCTGCTTATATTTAAATTTGGATTATGATCAATCAATTTGAGGTGCTGACTTAAAATAATAAATATAATAATTCATATAATTATAATTTAATAAATTTCATCACGAAAAAAAAAAAACAGTAACACCGAGAGAATTTAGAATTTTTTTGATTTAAAATTAAAGAAATTTTCTTAAATATGATAAATTATATCGAACCAACGGAATAACGTAACGCGTATCAAACGATCTATCAATAAAGATACGAACACGCGCATGTGTGTGTGTGTATGTGTGTGCGAGATATGGCATGCCAGTGACCTATATATTCAGGTAATAATTTATTCCTTAAGGTCAGTAGTCAGTGGCATCGATTCTTTTATATCATATCCACCTTTGTCGATACACCGTGTGCACAGCTTTAAATCTATTTTCACAATATCCTTTATTCGATAGTTTAGAAATAAAATGAATACTAAATTATGAAAGAATAATAATGAATAATTATCATCGTTAATTTATCAAAAAAAAATATCGAAAGAAAATTGTTTTCTACGACGATTATCATCAATCGAATTCTTATTATTTCACACACACATACACAAAATATTTCTATTAATTCTTATTTCACAAAAATGAATATTTCTATTTAAAAATTTTTCGTTGCAATATTAACACAATATTTCAACAGATTCATATTCATTCGTTTATCGAATTCATAAATTTCTCATAATACTGACGTCTAACGCGTGCAAAAGAAAAAAAACAACAAAAAAAAAAAAGAATAAATAAAATGTAATAATAATTTCGTCGATATAGGTACTACTATCTCGTCTAAAAAAAAAAAAAAAAAAAAAAGAAAAAACAAAAAGAAAAGGGAATTTTCATCTTCGGTTATTTCATCGTAAAATAAGGGGAAATAAAAGAGGAGACAGAAAAAAGGTGGAGTTAAGAGAAACGAGCTTTCGTCAAGGTAAACGAACAGAAAAAGAAAAGGAAGGTAAAAAATAAAAAAGAATAAAAAAAAATAAGGGAAGGAAGGAACTACGGAAGAGGTCGCGAAGGTTATCGTCGGGGTCGTGTCTGTTAAAGAAGAATGGGATACAGAAGGAACAGAAAAAGGAGCAATGGTCGTCGTTCCAAGTTACACACTGTCAGACAACGTCGTCGTACCTCAAAGAATCATTCTTGCTTGTCGTCCTGTGTACACAGATGCGTGGGTGGCGAAGGTGAGCTCCTTTTGCTAGGAACTTTCTTCCAAGTAACTTTCTTGCAGTAACTTTCTTGCAGTAACTTTCTTGCAGTAAAACATCGATCCTACGGTAATTAATTTTCGCTAAACACGATTGGCCGCTTGCAGAAAGTAACTAAATAAATTAAAAGAACTCTGACGATATATCTTTCTTTTTTACCATATTTCTCTCTCTCTCTCTCTAATTTTTAAAATACTTTTAACCCCCCCCCCTCCCGCCCTTGTGTCCTTCTCGTTAAACGAATTATCAAGTCATTATCGTCATGCTTTAGAAATTATCATTTGCAAAAGAAGAAAATTTCTCTAATCGAATTTTAAGATTAGTAAATATATTTCTCTTTCTTAATTGATAAATTAGAATTAATTAAATATAACAAAATTAATGATGTAAACGTGTTTTTCTAAATTCTCAGCTTTAAAGAAAATGCAAATAATGAAAGCCCTGGATTTTGGAATTCAATCCGGATATCTTGTACCAACGGATAAAACTTATAGAATTCTTCATGTATCTTCCGACCTTTTAAGAAAACAAACGAGAAAATCGAGAATGAATTTAATGAGAAATTACAAAAGAATAGGATCCAATGAGGATTCTTGGAATTTACGTGAAAGAGAAAAGAATGAAGTTGGAAAGAAGAATCGAATGAATCCGAAATCCGAAGAATATCCGGTACAAGAAGGGAGACGTAGACGATCGAGAAGTAAAAGAGGTCGTAGTCGTAAAAGATCACGAAGCCGATCACGAAATAAACGACGTAGATCTGGCAGAAGACGTAGCCGAAGTCGTAGAAGGTTGGTATTTTTAATATTAACTTTTTCAACTTTTTTATTCAGATTGTTTTAACATTTCTTATATATCTTACATACCACAATCTAATTTTAAACAATATTTTGAGGATATTATTGCAAAATGTGGTCTAACAAATCGTAATATTTGGATTTAATCCAATATCGTATTTAACGTGATACTTATGTTACCGTTTTAATTAAACATATAACATATATATTATATGTGTTATTTATGCAGATTAAATAAATAACACATCCTGATTTATTTCATATATATATATATCAAATATTTATATATCATAAAATAAATGTTTTCCATTTTATGACTTAACTTATTACCATAATTGTAGACGCATACGAGATACATAATAGAATCGAATATATAATCGTGAAAATAATAATAATAATTATTATTATTATTAAGAACAGAGAAAACGCGCGCGAGAGGAAGAAAAATGATCAAAATTTCTCATACATTTACAGTTCAAATAATTCAGAGAAAATAGGAGAAGATGATGACGATTACGAACAAGAGGAAAATACTACAAAGAGAAATTCTCGTAACGAGCATACAACGGATAACAATGATTCAAGAAATTCACGCTCGAAATCTCCAGACGTTGACAAAACAAACATTGAAAAATCACCCGACGACATCTCTGACGTTTCCCTCGATGATGATGATGATTCCGATGACGAAGAAGATAAGAACAAAACTAACGCCTCGTAATTTTTATTTTTTCAATCTTCCTCTATACCAATTATAGCCGCGATCAAAATTTCTAAGTATTGTCCACTTTTCCGCAATTCAAATTATTACCAACGACATATCTATATGTTTTCAAACAATTAATCATTAATTAAATGAAATATATATCTATTTCCTCTCCATGTCAAAATAATCATAACATATATCATTAATATAGAAAATAATCACTATACATATATACATATCAATGTATCCCATTATGAATACATCATCGAATACATCATAATTACTATGATTACACCTCTCCCATGTATCCCATCATATTCTCCTCTCGTGATATCAAGCGTGACAGGAAAGAGAAAATAGAGAAAAATACTGAGGGAGGAATAGATACGTACCCACTGTGAAAACTACCACCCCCTAACCCCCTAGTCCTTCCTTCTTTCGATCCTCGTATATACTACTACCGACCTTGAAACGAAGTAACCGATGGAGAAAAAAAATCGATGAACCAACGTACGAGAGATCTACGATTTACGATCGAGATTCTTTCATCCAGATTTCATCGAGTCTTTCCCTGAACTTCACTCTTTGACCCCTTCTCATTTCCCTTCCCCCCTATTCCCCTTATCTTTCTTTCTTTCTCTTTAGATAGCGCACTCTACACGCTTTTATCCGCATATCCTGCAGACCTCATCCCTCTCTCTCTCTCTCTTTACCACCCAACTCTCCCTCTTCCTCCCCAAACCACCCTCTCACGCAGTAGCAGCAGCAGCAGCAGCAGCAACGGTAGGAGGGTAAATTCGGATCGATCGAAGACCGGCTCTCGTTCTCTTGCATAGTCCGTCGACTCGGTTGCAACCGAGTCGTTCTTTCTCACAATTCCAACTGATGCTAAAACATGACTCGTGCGTCGACCGATTCGACGATTGCGCACCACGTGGCTTCGAATTCGCGCCAGGTTCTTTCTCTTCTTCCACTAGCTAAACCACCCCAACCCCTGATTCCCTCTTCGTGAAACCCCTCTATACCATCCCCAATACTACCACCAACGAAGAGAGCTCTTATCAGATGCACCCCTAATACGCCCACGTAGTCAACATTCTTCTATTCGGTTGGCGAATAAGTGCGGATTTTTTATTTGACAACTAAGTGATCCTTCCTGTTTATAAGTAGAAATGAAAGTGAGAAAGATCGAGGAGGGGATGTTTCATTTCGATAAACGAAACTGCATCTCACAGTTGGTTTTTGTTATAATAAACATCCTCGGTTAGTTGGAAATCCGAAAAATCGGCACACCGAAAAATTGGTACATTGTAAATTTATCTTAATAATTTCTTTATATTATATATATTTTGTTTTTTTTGTTAAAGTAACCGCACTCGCGCTTTGTTGCCAATCAAAAAAAATCCACACTTATTCGCCAACCGAATATTTTAAAGACGAATTAAATTTCAATCTCATACTTTAACTATTCTACTTCTAATAAATTTTGTCATATAAGACAACCAATTTAATTGTATGATAAAATTCTGTTAATGTGCATTTTCTAAAACCATATAACGACTAGCGACATCTTCTCAGTAAATTTTTGTTAAAGTAAACAACCCTCGCGCTTAGATGAAAACCAAAAAATCGACACTTATTTGCAATCCAATATTAACCACCCCTTTCATCCAACCTCCTGCCCCACCCCGTCATTATACTCCACCACCCTTCTTCGTCCTCGTCCTTCCTCGTCCTTCCTCGTTCGTATTCGCTTCATCCTCTCTCTCTCTCTCTCTATTTCTCTCTCACACTCTCTTTCTCGACTATCCTACGATACGATGCCTGCCTTCAGTCGACACGCGGCGTCCCGACGCGAATCACCCACCACCTATTTTTCTCATATCGAGAGATTATTGTCCAACCCGGTGTGTGTGTTGTTCCTCGTACCCACTATCTAACCGATTTATCTCTCCATCATTTGTTTTATTTTCTCTTCGTTTTTTTTTTTTTTTTTCTATATCGTGTCGAAAACCTGTGACGAGGAAATTTCATTAATTTTCATCATCGTTCTCTTTCGGTATTTTAATATTTTTTTTTTTTTCAGGGCGAAAGCGAAGCGTTTAGGTTGGGAGGGGTTGGGGCCGGGGGGTGTTGGGTTAAATATAAATGCACGAATACGTCGAAAAAAGCAAAGATTATTATTGTTCGATGATTATAATGAGATTTTATTTTGATTTCATATGGAATTGGAGAGACTGATATAGTTTTGATTAATTATTGTGATATTAATTCGTGTGACAACAACAACGATTTTATAAGATGTGTTACGAGTTTTTATTAAATGGTAAGTTAATTTCGTTAAACGTAACGTGTTCTTTTGGGTTTATTTTTTCTTTCTTTCCTTTTTTTCTTTTTTTTGACGAACTTTACCTTCTATTCTCATGAGATTACATACTACACTGTGCGCGATGCATTGTTTAAACGAAGACATAATATGCGTCTAGTTGTTTCAAGAGACTCCCTACATGTTGGTTATAAAGATGTAAAATATATACATTTATACGAAACGCGATTGGATTCGTTTTAACAACATTTTGTTCGTTCATTCTTTTCCCCCGGCACAGATCGTTTATATTAAACGAGTTTCATTTTAAAACAAAAGAAAAAAAAAGAGAGACACATTGTGAAGTTATTTAATTAATAAACAAACGTCGACTCTTAAATGATCGTACATTATTTTCCCCAGCAATTTTGTCTCGTTTGGAAATGAAATACAAATATTATACATATAGGAAATTATAAAAAATTGAAAAACGACAAATATTGTTACCGATTTTTTACGTCTCACTTAGCATTGAAAGATGAACAAAAATCTCACCTATGGTCGTTTGAGTGTTAATAATTTGACAATTTAATCCTGACGCGTGCATTATTATCAACGTTTCGATGAGACAAATGAAAAAAAAAAAAGAAAGAAAAAAAAGAAACATTGCACACCTGCCTACATTATTTTTCTTTTTTTTTTTTTTTTATAAAAGTTCTCACGTTCACCGACTCTTATTTACAGATTTATAAAACGATCCACCGCATATTACGACCCCTCCCCACTCTTCCGTCTCTTCCTCTTTCACTTAAAAAAAAAAAAAAAAGTAAGTTAATGGGGTGAAAAAAGAAAACAGAGAAAAACAGAGGGGTGGATTGCATTTGTAGACACATTCGCGCATTGTTTCATACGATGCAGTGCTTACAATCGCATTTGTCCCTAACCCCCTAACCCCTTCCCCTCATCCTCCTCCTCCACCTGCCACCGGTTTCTTCACACATTCTCCTGTTATTCGTTTCGTCGTATTTCGTCCCCATAGTAACGCGGCGCGTACCTCACAGCAGACAATGCCATGTACTTAGCAAATGTTTCCACCATAGGTAAACGGAAATCTTTCGTAAGAGTATAACAAGAGTGAGAGAGAGAGAGAGAGAGGGTTATAGGGTGAATACACGAAGAGTTCCAGACAAATAAATACCTGTAGCTCGGTTTTGTGCACACGATAAATAAATACTCGTTTAAAGAAAAACCTTTTTCTTTTTTTCTCCCTTCGTTCCTTTTCGAAATTATTTTCTTTTATCAAGTTTCAAGAAGGCATTTAAAACATGATCTGACACAATCCATTCGAGTACCGAAGGTTACACTCTGTACACTCCAACCCTCATGTTGGATGATGGGAAAAAATAAAGGAAAAATCATCCGACTGATTAAATTCGCGTTAATTGATTTCACTTGCTTCCTTTCCTTTCCTTCCTAGCTAGCTAGCTAGCTAGCTTATTTGCTTGTTTGTTTAACTTTATAAGAAGTAACTGCATATCAAAGATCTTTTATTTAAAAAATGTACAACCGAGGTCGAGCTGGAACTAAAATTAAATTACCATTTTACGTTACTCTTATATTTATTTATCCTTCTATAATTTCTTGTTCGTTTTCCTTATCTCTTTATATATAGATATATCAAATCTAATGAACACACGTAGTACGCATGTAGTCAGTGAGGAAAGAACTTTTTACCAAAGCTCATATCACGATAAGATCGTTTGTTTCTTTGTTGAATTTCTCTCACTCTCTTTCCCACTGAGTTCAACCCTCGTCTATGTCCGTTCTAATTAATATTTATGCGACCTTGTTGTCGTTGAATATGCGATAAACCGCACGCTATAAAGCTCCAAACCAATCGACTTCTCTGTTATACCATGCTGTCGATATTACCACATTACCTACCATATACGCATCATCTACATATGCAAACCACGTGTTTTTCTTGATGCAATCTCAAATTTCTCTTTCTCATCTATAAACGACCTCCAGATTGATCTGTCAAACACGATTAACCAATATTATGAACAAAACCATCGAATTGCGTACCAGAAATGAAAGATAAATTAATTGTAAGAGAGAGAAAGAGAATGTTTTAGGGATGCAGAAATAGTATACATTATTTATGGTTAATCTAGGCCGGATGAACATAGTGTTGTTAATTATGGATGCATGTTGTGTTCAAACCACCCCTTAAACGAGTCAGCTCCAACCAACCGACCAGTGGCAATAACATTGAATTCCGTCCTAGAACATCGTCACGCTTCGTAGCAAAAATTACCATCTATTTCGTGCGTTCTCTACTAGTATCGTAAACAAAATATTTTTATATTCGCGATAAAAATGATTTAAAAAAAAAAATTACAAAAATTATATTATTTCATCAAAGTTATCATCCAAGTTTGATTTGATTTTATTTTAACACGTTTATATCGGCCACCGCGTATGATTCGATTGAGTTTCTCGCGGGTCCCCCAAATCCGATTGTCGATACCCCAGAACGTATACCGATCGATTTAATAATATTTTATCCACTCTCCCTTAAATTTAAATCAATAAAATGTATAATAATATAATGTGCGTATATTTTTTCGTTGATATATTTGTTTTTTTTTTTTATTTTGTATATTTTTATATTTATATTTCAATGCTTATTCTATTATAAATTCCTTTTTAAATTCTAATTTAAAATTCTATTTAACTTGAAGAAGAGAAGAAGAAAAAGAAGAAGAAGAACGTCAACCATATCTGGGTGATGGGGCCCCCACGGAGGCATACCCTTAACCCAAATATAAGTGACGTGGCGACAAAAACGTGTTAAAGATAAAACATTTCATTATAATTTCTCTTGTGTTCTTTCTTTCATTTTTTGTTTTTTTTTTTTGTTTTATTATTACCTCTCATATCGTTAAATATTATCGATAAATAAGAAATGTTCTTTGTATGGTTAATATTTTAAAATGTTTTAAGAAGATGAAACGAGTTATATGTTTTATATTTCATTTTTATGATATTGATATTCTTTAGTAGCACATGCACTTTCCCCCCCATAGAAATATCCTCGATTGGTGGGTTACAAGAACATAGACCAATACTCTCTTGGTTCGAAACATCGACAATTTTAAAGCGAGTTACAAAGTTTCACGATGCACACCAGCTGTTACAAATCTATTTTACTTTTCTCTCAGTCTGTAAGTAAAACATTGAAAACATTTTAAATCCTGATAAAACTTATCCTCACTCGACGAAGAATCACTTTATTTATTTTACTTTTCTTTCATTATATTATTATTATTATCATTATTAATACTATCGATTCGTCGACGTTCGATAATTGTCTTCCAACGAAAAAAAAATCAAACTTCTACACGGAAATAATAAAGACTATAAAAGTTTTGTAAAAGTTGGCATTAAACGAGTTTCAGATAAAAGTAATTTTCATCGTAAATCGTTTTATAAGCGAACCTTGAAAGGATCTAAACCTTAAGAAGGGTGACAACGTTCGATAGTAATGGAGGGTATTGCTCTACTATAAACCCAGATACCCCTTCTAACACGTTCCAAACTTATTGTTAGATATTTTCCTTTTTTTATGTACACGATAAGCAATATTTCATGTCAATGAACGATCATCCTACTTGTCTTTTCTCTCCTATCGTTAATCTTTTTCTTTTTGATTATTTATCTTTTTACTTTTATAATTGTTTGTTCTTGAATTTTACATCATATGATTAATTCATTCTTGATTTTTTTTCTTTCTTTTTCCCTTTCTCGTGTCTTATGTTCTTGATAGGACACTAAGTAGGATTCACTTTGAAATACACTCAAAGCGTTTTCACTTATTCACGATTAATTGTTCAGAAATACGTTGTGATGGTGGTGGCTACTAAATTATAACCGCAAATGCACGTGCCCGAGTGCACCTTCTCTTTATTGACCTCTTCGAGGGTCTTCCGTTTGAATCGATGAATGGAACTACTACCTACGAGAAACTACGTGCATCTATACATACTATATATACGCGTATACACGCATAAATATACGGTTTGTCAACAAGTAATGGAATCATAAGTCATGGGAAGTTATATTTAGAACATATATGTCATAAAATACTATAGAAAGAAAATATGTATTTGAAAAAAAAATCATATATATAAATCACGGTCTGTTAACCCATCATTATCCACGAAAGAATAATATAATATCATTTTAATTGGGTTGTACGTTGAATCTTATTCATCAACAATTATAATTCAACGAGTTTATTCAGAAAAAAAAGATTCGAAACAGCTTGAAATATTTTTCCAAAGTATCATCCCACTTTAAATTGGACATAGAAATGCGCTGCTAAGTTATAATTCCCTTTTGATAAGAGGATTTTAAGATAGTCGGAGAGAGAAAGTGAGAGATAAAGAGATAGAGATGAAAGAAAAGGAAAGATTTAGAAAGAAAAGTAAGAACGTAGAACAATAAGGATACAAAGAATGAACGAGGAGTAGGAAATGTCGATTACATAACTTCGTAGAGGAAATAGACGCAGTGCAGGTGCTTCACAAGACGCGTTTTCCTAATGTTACTTCTTCTTCTTCTTTTTTTCTCAACGTATCGTCTCGGAACATGTGACAACTTCGAGAGAGAAAAAAAATCGTCCGAGTAATTTCATGCTATTTTTCTACATTTTGTTTCTTTATTTTTCTTCTTCTTCATACAATTTTGAAGGGAGACAAAAAATATAGAAAAGAAATATAATATCATAAAGATAAAAATAGTTACTATCAAAATAAATTTTTTAATTTAACTCTTTTAAATTTAGTTGGTTGAATATTCGTGTATCATTTTGATATTATGTGGAAACGCACACATTTCCTTTGACAAGTAAGATCACATGACAACGACATGTCAAACGGTACCATGTAACGCATTCGTTAAAATGGAAAATGTGGATTTAAAGCTCCGATCACGTTTGTCAAAAGGGATCAGTC